GGGACAAGGGGTCCAGAGCCAGGAATCCATGGCGGGGGTGCTAGACACAGAGAACGAGCCTTCGGGCCCGAGCACAGTCCAGCCAGAGAGGACGAGTGACGAACACAGAGTGACGTTGCTGCGTCAGGTCACCAACCAGCCCAGGAGCCCGAGACGTGGAAGCTGTAACCCGAGGGAGGCTGAGTGTCAGGCACTGGGACGCTTCGTTAGGTAACTGGGGACAAGCCCGTGGCCAGGGGAGGGACGGAAACGCTCCGTCCGCGCGGCAAGCACCGACTGTCGTGACTCGTGCTGAGCGTTGCGGGGGGGCTTCTCAGAGCGGCTCTAACAGCACCACCTGAGCCCTTCCCGGCGCGTAGACGGCGGACGACCGGGTGCGTAAGGCCTCCCCGCCCTCGTGGCTGGTGTTCGGGGCGTGACTCTGATTCTCCCCGCGAGACCTGGGCTGGGCGCCCAGGTGGGCACAGTGTGACACGGCTGTGTTGACCCCGATCACAGGGAGAGGGCTCGTTTGGCAGCTAGTGATTCATCCTCCGGTCGTGGGGGGGCAGCGGCAGGGCCCACGCGGTGAGGGTCTGCTTCTGACAAGGAAAAGGGAAGCAGTGGAGGAGGAGGAGAGACGGCAAACGGGATGTCATTCTAGAAACCCCTCTGACTGCTCCCCCAGCCCTCCCGACGCTGTGAATTCCCGTGTCAGGTGTATCAAACGTGTGTCCGCCTGAACCAGCCAACGGAGACTTTTGTTGTCGAGAACTGAAGGTTTATCAATGTTGTGATTGACAGCAGAACCAGCCAAATGTGGCCGGCCTTCAGGACGGCGTGAACTTGGAAATGTCTGCGTCCACTGTGCAGCCGGAAGGCAGTGGGACCCCCCCCCCCCCGCAGTGAGGAGACAGGACTGGGGAGGAACAGCAGAGAATGGGAGGCCCCGGGGGGTGGGGAAGCCTGCGGTGCACGGGACTCGGAGCAGCCAGGGTGCGTGAGCCCTCGGAGCAGGTTACTAGTACAGACTCTGGGGAAGGCGTGTGTGTGCGTGTGTGTGTTTAGAAACCTCAAACAAAGAAGTGCTCAACGTCTGATTCAGAGAAACTCATTAAACCAGAGGTGTGGAGAGAGCCACAGCTGGCGGGAACAGACCTTCGGCCACCTCGAGGAACGCGCCTTTGTCACTGGAATAGTCGAAGTGGCGGACATTGGCTGAGTGGAAGAAGGATGGGTGGGCATGGAAGCTGGACCCTGAGGCCGGTCCGAGGGCAGGGTCAGGGTGAAGGGGCACCAGAGGGGAGGACGAGGGAGGGTGGGTGTGTCCCGGGTGGGCAGATCCAGTCTGCAGACCCCTGAGCCAGAGCAGCCGCGGCGAGGCCCGCCTGTCCTGGCCTTGCTTCCTTCCAGGACCCTCTCCGGACCTTGCATGAGCTCGGGGAGGGCACTGGGAGGGGCGCTGTGAGTGGCCGGGTGTCTGCAGTGTCCCGGAGAATGCTCATCCCTGAGCGCCTGGGCTCTGAGAACCACTTTCCGGGAAAACTGACCGCGGTCTGTCCTCCACGCTGCCCCTGCGGACACTCTGGCTTCCCTTCCGCCCCTGTACCTGTTTGCACGGTTTTCTGGCTGCGCCCTGGGCGTGTCCCAGACACACAGCCCTCCTTGGTGATGTCCTTCCTGGCTTTGTCCTCTGAATCTGTCTGACAGGTTCGTTTCCGCCGCCTCCCTGCTCAGAACCAGCCTCGTCACCCCACACGGCGGGGGTGGCACTTGCCCGGCTGAAGGCCCTTCTCTGTCCCTCCGGGAGCCCAGCCCTCAGACGAGGTCGGGCACCTCTTCACTGTGGGGCAGGTTCCAAGCGCTGGGCGCAGTCACATCCATCCTGTGACCTGCTGCTTGTGGGCATCTTATTAGTCGCTCCACCCCCAGATCGAAGCCCCACTAAGTGCTGTTGTGGGTGGGCTGTGCCGCCAGGTTCCGCCGCAGAGACCCTGTCCAGACACCGTGAACCGAGCTACTCTAACGCTGGTATTTTTTGGTGACAGGAGTGTTTGTTCTGTTCAGAACTTAGAATAACACAACACAGCAGCCGAGGAGCGGCGGTCAGAAAACCACGCCTTCCTGCATCTGAGTCCGGGGGGACCCCCTCATTTACTTGGGGGACAGACCATCTGGCCACGTGTCAGGGCTCAGGGCTCACAGTCACACAGACAGCATCTCTCATCCGTCTGTCCGTCTATGCTGTCTCTCCATCCATCTGTCCGTCTGTCATGTCTACCAATCCGATGGTCTCTCTGCCTCCTTCCCCACCTTTACCTCCTCTCCAAGTCTCTAATCTCCGTCTCTACGTACCACCTCTCTCATCTGGCCAGCCGTGAGACCATCTGTGTGTCTGTCTGTCAACCCGTGTCGGCATCTGCCGTCTATGCGTCTATTGTCAGTTTATCTGCCATCGTCCCTCCCTGCAGACAGTAACTACGAGGTTGCTCAGGACCCGTGTTTCTCAGCGGAAGGAGCCGTGTATCACGATGCTGTTCACGGAGACCGTCTGGGAAGACAGTGAACAGGCCTGACGTCAGCTTGTTCGGCTGTTTCCTGCTTCTCTGCACACAGAGCCACCGCTCCTCCCTCACACGCGCTGCGGGTGTGCCCACGGCCGGGTGCATGGGGACGCACCTCCTTAGGCTGCAGAGTGGGGGGCAGGGGGTGGGACTGAGGACGGGAGGCCGTGGTCGGCGCACTTGTCCTTCACGGGGTGTGGCTGCCGTTCTCCCTGAGCCCCAGAGACACTGACTCCTGGAGGGGCCCGGCCAGTCTTGGCTGCTCTGCCCCCCGGCGCCCTGGCTGTGGGGCACCTGGCCCCGTCGGCTCTGGGCCTGTCCGACCAAACACGCCAGGGGCTGTTGCCATCCCCACACCGTGACGACCGTCGGCGGGCGTCCTGGGTCACATGTGCCCTGACGTCTTCACACCCATCTGAGCTGTGTCATTTCTCTGGGTCCTGTTCCTCGGGGTCCTTCCCTGGGACACATGGATGCCTGACCCTCTTACCTCGGCTCGTTTGTCTTATACCTTGTCCAAAGAAATCGTTCCGTGATCCTAAAAGTCAGATAAAAAAGTGGGTTCTGACTGAGCCACTTCGTTCTTCGCCCCTAAGCTCCTCAAAATTCAGGACTTTCAGACGAGAAAAGCAAAGCCATCTTTAGATTTCTGAGTTCCGATGTTTTGTCTCTCCGGCCGCCGCTGTGTTCCCAGCGTCACCATCCTTCTGAAGAGCCACAGCCTCCCCAGGGCGAGTCTGCAGTTCATCACTGCACCGCTGTCACTCCTCCCTCCCGTGACGTCCAGCCTCCTCTGCTCTGGGACCCACTCGCGGCTCCGCCTGGCGCCCAGGGTCTCCCCACACAGCGCTCACCTCCCACACTGCGTTTCCCACCAGCGCCCTTGCCGTCCGGCCTTCCTGTCCGCACCTGAGACCCGGGAAGACGGGGGCGGGGCCTCCGCTTTGGTCTCCAGTGACACCTCTGTGCCCTGGGAGAGCTTCCCTGGTTCTCCTGCCTCAGCCCCTCCGGGCCCGCTGCTCCTGGTTTCCAGGCTGCTGTCTCCATTGAGGGGACGGCGGGGCCACAGGGAGTGAGGTCTTTTCCAATAGACATTTTCTCAGCAACCTGCAGGGACCGATGACCATGGGCCTGAAGCCGCCGCCCGAGCCCCACTGATCTCCGAGTAAGACCCTGGAACTGAGCGTTCTGCGCACGGTGCCCAAGAAGTTGAATTCAGCTAAATTTTAGGAAGTAATGATGCATTTCTCACATACTGGGATTTGTGGGATGAGATTTATGACCACAGTGCATCTTGACATGTGTTAAAAGTAATTAAAATTCCATTTTTGGTGTAATAGGGAACACGTGGTGACAGGAAGGAGAACTACACATAATTTTTCCTAGAAGTGCACCGTGGTGAATGAGAGAGTGGGTGACGGGACCCTCAGGTTCTGGGACTCCCCCCCCCCCCGTAGGGCCCAGTGCCGCCCCCGGCAATGCTGTGATCATCCGGGTGCCGCACGGTCCGCTGGCTGGGCCCCGGACGGTCCCCCGGGGCGAATGGCTTCCTCTGGGGGGCAACGGGAAGACGGGACTCCACGGCAGCGCGAGCTCGTGTCTGGTCTGCGGGTGTCCTGCGCCTGCCCCTGCGGGATGAACGACTCCTTTCCAACACCCCCGGCACACAGGCCTTTGTGAATGGAGTCTGAAAAGGGGGACCATCTTAGGGAAACGCAGACCAGTCGTGGTTTTTCCTGAGGATGTTTTCATTTTTGTGGCTTGATGTCCTAGTCACACATTCCCCACCCGTTCCGTGTCACGACGTCTTGCTGGTGACCGGGAGAAAGGAGGGACGCCTCGCTGCCCGCACCTCGCGGGCCGTGGTTTCTGATTCAAAGGCTCAGCGTTTCCACACAGTCCGCTCAGGACAGAAACTCGTTCTTATGTTGGCCCCACCGTGCGGTCAGCGCCACTGAACTCAGGTGGCCACTTCCTTTGGTTGTAACAGGGATGGACAGACAGTCAATGTTTGGTGAACACGTTTAATCTGCTGATTGCTGTTATGTACTATAAATTAAATACATTTTACTGCAAAACAAACACAACATTTGAAGAGTTGAAATTGAATGTACAGACATCGGTTGGTTCGTAGCACATTGGAGACACTCAGAAGCAGCCCCACAGGCCCTGTCTCCCCCACCCCCACACCGCACACACTGACCCCTGACCTGTGAACACAGGAAGCGCAAGACTGAGAAGTCAATGCACGCAACTCAGAAACAAAGTGCTTCCCCCACCCATTTGTTTACTGGAGAATAAAAGGAAGGCACCGTCTGAGCGTCACTAATCGCCCGATTCATGACCCGAGTCTTCTTCGCTCGACTCGGCGTGTGTGGGCCTGCTCAGTGACTAAGGAGCGGAGCCGGGAAGGGAGACCGCCCCTCGGCACCAAACCCCAGCGCCGTGGGGGGGGGTCCGCGTTTCCTGTCTCGGAGAGCCGAGGCCGCGCGGACCTCCTCTGGCGTGGCCCGTCCGGGGCGAGAACCACAGGTTATGAAAGCATGTTACTTCTCATTTATAAGCTGGTTTTGAATATACAATTGTAAGCAAGTTTCACTGTATACACTAATCCTCCAAAATCCATCTTGTGAAATATCCTAAAACAAACAAGAACTCCCTTTTCCTGACAGCGTTTGGAGGTTGCGGCATTAGCTTTCCTGGAGGGGTAACAGGTCCTTTCCCCCAACGGGCGTCTCCATGTTTTTATAGAGTCGACTGAAATCCTGACTTGATGGCTATTATTTTTCCAGGTGAACTGTTTGAGAAGAGAAAGTCATCCCTGTAGTTGTTGGTCTGAGGAACAACCCAGGAAAGATTCCAGGCCGTGTTTTAGAATCTTTTATTGCTATGCATCATTCACCGCAATGTAATTTGGATTTCTGAGTAAAGGACATATGACTGTTCCCAAAAGGCCATCATGATACTAAGCCCGTGGACCTGCTGGAGTCTAGACTACACGGGCTGGAAGAGGGCGCATCTGGGTCCAGCCCCGGTAAACGCATGTAATACCGGCCGTCAGAGCGCCCAGCGCAAGCCCTTCCACTCCCACCCCCGGGGACAGACAGACTGCCAAGTCTGCGCCCGTGACAGTCTCAGCTCCAGGGCGGGCGCGGGGCCAGGTCTCCAGCCCGACGTACTCAGAGTTCCCGGCAGGACCGTATAAAATGCACCGACCACTGTCCGAGTTGGGGCCCCACGCAGGGGTCAGACGTAGCTGGTGAAGGTCCTGTGGGCCGTGGCCCCGGCCCTCTGCTTGTCTACGTGGGGCGCACAGTGTCCGGAGGCCGGACGGCGGTGCCTTCGCCTCTTCCAGGCACGGCAGCAGACCCCGCAGAGCAGACCCCCTCCGAGGAGGAGGAGGGCGGCGCTCGCCCAGCCCAGGAAGAGGGCGGCCCCCAACTCTCGCTTCTGAGCCACGTGGACGGCCGGGTTGTGGAAACCCCTGACGATGATGCTGGCTGTCCAGCACACTGGGATCAGAACAGAGACGCCCGCCAGGAGGAAGAGGGCCCCCGATGCGCCCAGGAGGCGGGCCTTGGCCCTCTCGCTGGAGGGGGCGCACTGGACCCCCTTCATGCCGCAGACGCCCACCAGCAGGGCGAGCAGGGCCAGCGCCACGGCCACGCACATGAGAGCCCGGGCCGCCTCGAGCGCGGGCGGCAGGGCCAGCAGGGAGCCGTAGACCTTGCACTGCAGCACGGCCGTGGCCTGCCGGACGCAGGTCATCCACAGCCCCTCCCAGATCCGCTCGAAGACGATGATGTTATTGCCCACGAAGGCCGACACTTGCCACTGGGGCAGGAGGGTGGCCCCCAGGGCCCCGGCCATGCCGAGGAACCCCAGGACCAGCCCGGCAATCTGCAGGGGATAAAACGCCATGGCCGTGACCTTGAGGACGGGTCCGCCTGGAAGCTGCTCACGATCTGAAGGCGGAGGAGGCCCCTGGGTCTACGGAGGACATGGGTGGCGTCTCCCACGGTGACTGCCCATCACGCTGCGTCTGGGCGGCTGCAGGAGCGCCTGCAGTCGGGGTGCACTCCCTGCTCGGAGTGTCTGCTGGTCGGAGAAGGTGGCGGAGGTGTGTCCGGAAGCTCCGCCCGCAACGTTAGTGTTTCTCACAGTGTCGTCGTCCCAGCCGGGCTGTAATTAGTGGCAAAGCTCCCATTGCGCAATGCTAACACAGAGCCGGAAACTTCCCGTCTGAGAACCCCAAGCGCACACACTCAGCCCCAACCAGACACAGCCGCCGCCGAAACCGGGCCGCTCTGTGCCGGGCAGACGGACGGCGCGGTGCCCCCGGGTGATTCGCTCTTTTGGTCTAAGCCACCTTCCCTTTACTGTAACTAATCAGCTCTGGTTTGGACACACACTTCTGCACATGCAGAAATGTTTAGGTGTTCGTTTCAAAGCTTCCGTGAAAACCCATGGTGATTTATAGAGGTGGAGTCCAAAGGGAGAAATTCGGATTTCACAGTGAATTCTCCAGACCCACGGAGCAGGGACCAGAGAAGCGCTTCTGTGGACGGGATTTGCCGTCTGTTACCATGTTACCTTCCCCGCGATGAAATCCAGATTGGCCGGCGTAGCGCAGAAGACCAGCCGCGAGCCGGCTCTGCCCACCTGGGCCAGGCCTCTGACCGGGGCTCCGTTCTGTGTTCTCACACAGCTTCCATCACAGGGAGACTTGTAACTGTGCAACAGCGGTTGAAAATACACGTGATCACAGACTGAGACACAGCTGTGGGTAAAGAAACGCAGGAAGTGGAAATCACAGCCTACAAACAGTGTGTACAGATGAGACGTTAACGTGATCGTGAAGTGAAGGGAAGGTCCCCCACGAAACAGCACGTGTAAGCCATAGCCTGATGCTGGGGTGGGGATCGGCCGGACCATTGTCATGGGAGAGCGAGGAGGGCGAGGGGTCAGGAGGGCACGGGGTCAGGAGGGCGCGGGGTCAGGAGGGCGCGGGGTCAGGAGGGCGCGGGGTCGGGAGTGGCTGCCTGGGTCCAGACATGGGGCCAAGGCGCCGGACTCCTGCAGACGGGAGGCCCTGGCCCGACGTGGGGGCTGTCAGGGCTGGAGAGGCTGCCGGTGTGGGCCGGGTGTGGGGGTGCTGTCCCCACCCTCTCCAAGGTCAGTGCAGAGTCGTTGAGCGGTGTCAACACGGAACTGACACACCCTGGCACATCTGCATTGCATGTACAGATATCGTTTTAGGGGGGCCCTAAATGAAATTGATAAAAGTTGTGTGTTTACTCTCACACACAAGCTTCAGTCACCTCCCCGCTGCTCAGCGTTGGACGCAACACACCCTTCGAGATGCCCTTCCCGCGGCTCAGGGCAGTGTTCGAACTTGTCGGTGCTGATGCCTTCCGTGCGTCTGCTGTTTTCTGTTTCACCTCGTCCACAACAGCAAACTGTTGCCTTGGAGGGATTTTTTTTATCCAGGGAAACAAGAAAACCTTGCTTGGGGTGGGACCAGGTGAATAGGGAGGGTGGGGCCCAGGGTCGCCCAGGTTTTGGTCAGAAAGGACACATGGACAAAACCAGGGGGGAAGGTGGAAGCAAGGGAGGGAGGGAGGTTTGGAGCAGGGAGGGGAAAAATACAACTGTAATTGAACAACAATAAAGTGAATTTAAAAATTTCACTGAAGCCTCTCTCAGCCTCTCACAACGACACCAGCTGGTGCACTGATACAGATGGGTCCCCAGAGCACGCCCCTAGTGGGGGAAGCCTGTACTACAAGGGGCCCACCCTCCAGAAGACTATTCTGTTTTTTTAGGGGTTCCTGGCTATCTGGGGGGAGCGGATCAGAAAAGCTGTAGTTTAATAAGAGCTGCCGGCAGCCAGGTAGTGGCAGGGAAGCAGGGGTGCGGACGGACGTGCCGCATTTGGGCCCCCCCATGCAGGTGGGTGACAGGCTGCAGGCAGGGAGGCGGGGGGATTCCTGTCACGTCTGGGGCATGAGCTCCATCGTTGCAGGACTGCTCCTCAGCTGTGAGGTGCTGACGGGCCAGCGCCGCCCCCCCACAGGGGGCATCCGGGCTGAGTGACAGGCGTGAGCGGGAGCTGCCTGTGAGGCACCCCAGTGGGGACATGGGGGTGCACCGAGCTCGTGGGAAACGGTGGGCAGTGCCGCGTGTGAGTGGTCACCCCTCCTCTGTCCCATCCACAAGTTACCTGTGGTCAGGTCACAGCCGTGGCAGGAGGCAGACCCCCTCTGTCCACGTGGCCTGCCGGGGCTTGTGCTGGGGCCGCAGAGAAGCTCGCTCGGCTGAGGGCCTTCCGACGACTCTGCACCGACGGTAAAACGGATTCGACAGCAGCCGTGCTGTGCCGTCCGCACGAGCCAGCGTTTGAGAAGTCGGGGCACAAGTCACCATTCTCACGTCTGGTAGTCGCGTGGGTCAGTCCCGGGGGCCACGGTGGCCGTCATCAGGTCGGGAAGCCCCTCGCTGGAGAGACGCGTCCCCAGGGACCAGGAGAGTTCCGGTTCCTGTGGGCGCCGCTCTGAGCCGCTTCCTCCTCCTTCTGAGTGGAGTGGACGTGGGAACGTGAGCTGATGTTACAGTGGACGTTTTCCGTACGCTGGGTTCACGATCCAAAACTGACCAAAATCTACCCATTTAATTTTTTCTGACATTTCTTTGAGATAAACAGTTTGGTTTTAAACTTTCTGTAGACTTTACTTTTTGGAGCTGTTTAGATGTAGAGAGAAGTGGCCAAGATCATACTGAGTTTCACACTTTACACCCAGTTTTTCCTGTTGCTGACCCCACACACTGGCACGGGACATTTGTCACAACTAACAAACCAGTGTATTATCATTATTAACGAAAGGTCACGGTTTGTTTTCATTACTCAGTTCTTCGCTGGTGCCCTTTCTCTGCTCCAGGGTCGCACCCAGGACACCACCCGGCCGCTGGCTCTGAGGATCCCTCAGGCCGCCTGTGGCTGGGACAGTGTCTCAAACCCTCCCCCATCCGATGACCCTAGAAGTCAGGGGTCACTGCTCAGTTATCTTGCGAAATGCCTGTTTATCCCAGTTGCCTTTTATCTTTCTCCTGAGTCGATTGAGACCGTGGGCTGGGGAAGAAGATCCCGGGTACAGCGCCCTTTCTCCCCACCGTATACCACGCGCGCGCCATCGACCCCGGCGGGACTGTTCTTGGGGTCCTGTTCGTCTGGCCAGGGCAGGAACGGTCCGCTTTCTCCCCCGGCCCCTGGGGCAGCGGGTCCCCGGATTGCGGGGCCGCTCTCACCGATCCCCACTGCACAGCCCCCACACATGAGCACAGGGCTTGCATCAGTTACTGGGGCTCTTCTGCACGGGGCCTTCATCCTTCCCCCTTAAGTATCAGTTTAGTCAATCATCTTCTTATATCAGATGGACTTACAAACACTCATTCTATACTCTGACTTGTAATCCAAATGACAGTATTTTTTTGCTCAAACGTCTCCAGTTTTGGCCACAGAAGTTCTCTCTGTCCTGTTCTTGCTGCTTTCATGCAGAACTTTGCATCTTTCCGAGCGGGAGGGCGGAGTTGGGTGGCACCCCGCCAACTAACAGGTGAGGCCGAGGCCCAGCCTCCGGCAGCGTGGCCTGGAGCCGGGCTTGACAGCCCTCCGCTGCGCTGCCTTTGTCGAGTCCGATTAAATTCAAGTTAAAGGCTCCTTTAGCCTTAAGAACGCATTAACTTTCTCTTCCAAAAACAAAGTAAAAATCAATAATGACTGGCACTTAATTATTCGTTTAATTGCGTGGGGACGGGAACCTGCCCGTTTCTCCTGTGGGTCATTTGGAAGCTGTGGCAGGTGCTCATTAAACCCGGGCTTCCCGCCGCCCTCATCCAGGGCTTCCCTCCTGGACGTTTCTCTGGGGACCGTAAAGGCGGTCCCCCAGAAAGGTGGGGACGCTGAAGCTTCACGCAACTCTCCCCAACCGCACACATATCAAGGCCAGGAACGCTGTGTCTCACTTAGTATCAAGAAGAGAGAGAAGACACTCCTTTCTCTGAAAGAGACAAGCCACGGAGGCCATGACTCATCAGGATGCTTGGCCAGGCCTCAGGTCGCAGAAGAGAGAAAATTCAACCGGAGGACGGATAATTGAGCTGTGACCCGAGGGACAGAGGCTGCCCAGACACCATCTGACCCCACGGCACCCCCGCAGAGGGGAGAGGAGGGGCCGCATCTGTGTTGGTCGTGGGAAAGCGAGTTTAGGGGCAGCTCCGGGACCCGGCCAAGGGCCTTCGGTAGATCCGCAGCCAGGAAAGCACTTGAGTCCCCGCGGCTTCCTCGCTGACTCCTGGTGCTTCTGTGGACGTCTTTGCGGGATCCGTCGAGGTCCCAACGCAGGGCCACCTTCGCAGTCTTGTTAGGTGGAGGGTGTACTTCTGGGGTGTGCCGGACAAATAAGTATGTATCAGTGATCAATAGTTCCCCTGCCGATGTTCTGACGCCCTGGTCCCAAGGCATCTACGGTGGTCCAGGGTCACAGGGACCGACTGGTGGACGCTAGTGAGCAAAAGAGAGTGGGCGTTAATAATATCCCTCTTCAACCCTGAAACGCACCTGAACTTCCCAGGGCTGCCCCCCAGGGAGAGGGCTCCGACTTTGTCCCTGTTCCACAGAGGGGGCCGTGGGAACACAGACGAGCTGGATGGGCTGCCGGGGACCTGAGGGGCCTGAGATGGAAGCCCAGACCAGGAGACTACAGGCGTGGTCGCTGCGTGGACAGACATGGAAGGCCGTCGCATGTTGGAGGGATGGGAAAACGGTGTCCGCAGGGATGACCGGCGACCACTCACGAGGGGGCCTTGCTCCAAGGCCCCCTAAAGTGGGTGAGCTGCGCCGGCACCGGCGAGCCGGGGAAGGGCAAAGGCTGCTTCCGGAGCCGCTGGGAGATGCGTGTGTGTTTGGGGCGTGGCTTTCAGTGGCCCTGTGATGACCGGGAGCTTCCCTGGCATTGATTGATTGGTTGGTTGAATTTGTTCGGCTGGCCTTGGCTGGTAGAATTATATGGGTTTCAGCTGTGCATGTCTGTGACCCATCGTCCACGGGCTGGGTCGCATGTCCCCACCCCAAGGAGCGTGCCGGCCATTCAGCAGGCGAGGCCCGTGAGCTGTCGGTGCAGACGGGACGTGTAAGGAGGGCTCTGCTCCGTTTTCCACGTAAATCCAGGGTAATTCCGTGAACGCGCAGTGAAAACCAGGAGTGCGGTGACCAGGAAGTGGAGTGGAAGTTGAGTTTTGTTTCATTTGGAACTTATCCCATAAGTCACTTGTCATTTTAAAGGCTCATGGCATCTGTGACGACCGTGGACTTGGGCTCTCAAATCGAACACCCGCGTCAGGCCGTCTCCGTAGCTGTCATGGCCCCGGATTTGGTGCAGAGGCAGCTTCCAGCGGCTTTTGTGTCCCCATCCTAGGCATTTCTGTGTGGTTGCATAAGGAAACGGGTGCTGTTTTAAATGGACCTCTTTCTCTTTCAACGGTCGCTTGTAAGTAAGACATGATACCGATGTTTCCAAATGCGCACTTTACGCCCTCTGTGACTTTCGTTCCAGAACATTCTGTAGGACGTTACCAAACATTCTCTATGAAGCGAGGTTTGAGGTCCGGCAGGGTGGTGGTGCTTCCTCAGTTATGACGCGGGTCAGGGTGAGCAGGACAGTGTCCGCGATTCGGTCGGCCACAAGGAAGCCTGGAGCCCCGTTCCGTGACCTCCAGTGGCCGTGGGGTCCCAGCCGCTCCGAGGGGGGCCAGTGCCCAGGCTCGGGCAGAGCTTGGGTGAGATCAGACACCCAAGAATAAAGCGAACATCCTTGAAGGGCAGCAGTTTAAGGGAAAAGACCAAACTAGAAGGAAACGTGCACAGTAGGTCTGACGGCAAGGAAGCCCG